TAAAAGTATAATGACAAAGGATAATCAATGACATGTCACTTTAGGACAGGATGGCCAGTATATAGATGCATGCCTCAGCTGCACTTTCTGTACCTGTGACAGCCATTGCTAACTGAACAGGATCTTCCCCACTGAGCCTCAGAATCGTCCTGAACCCAAGGTTCCAGGCAGCCAGTCGGATTTGTTAACTGAAAAGGAATCCAGTGACCATTCCTCTTTTAAGGAGCATCCCTTCAGTACAATGAGAAGTTACATTTCTCACTGAATTCATGAGTCTTCTTTTAGCATTTCAGTGGCTCTGAAGTTCTTGGTCGGAGCAGCAATATTTATGTTTTATCAGCCACTTCAATGGTACCGTTCATTTGACACTTTCACTTTGCTGTGTCATCCAGCAGCTCTCAAAACTGAACACCAAAATACTAGTCGACTATGGTCATGGTGACCAACCATCTTTTTTCCCTGCTTGGAGTCCAACTTTACCTTTTTTCCCACCCACTGAGGTGCAGAAGGGAGACAGTGGTATGAGAAAGGGGCTTCTCCCTTCCCCCCAGCACACACTGTGGAGACAAGATGCACCCTCCCCGCGCTTCTCCACAGCCAGCAGTGTCTCTGAGGCAGCTGCAGCCTTCTGAGCCCATGTCTGCAGCTGGCCGTGGTGCCTTGGCAGACCCCATGCATCATACGATCCGTGATGCCTGGCAGATGATTTTCGTCCCAAGTGTGTTCAGAGAGCTCTCTGAGACCTGTAAAGAGTTGTGGTCTGAGAACTTCAGGGTAAAGGTGTTACTTTGGTCAGGACTCAGCTTACCCTTTCCTCCTGGAAGTCTTTTGAGAGGGAATGGCAAGGGGGAGGATGGCAGGGTGCTGGGAGGCAGTGCAGAGTCAATGGAACAGTCCATCTTACTTTGTCCTAATGCATTTTAGTCTTTGTATCATAGGGCCATTCAGTGAAGTGGCCTGAAAATGGTTGATCCTTGCCTGAAAATGATTAATCAAGGGGCCACATGTGAGAAAGTTTCATCAAGGAGCTGAGCGTTGGCAGCCCTGGATCACAGACAAGGCCAAGATGCCCACAGCCATGGCTTCCTGCCGGCCCCAGAGCATTCATCCATATTGAACTGACCCAGCAAGGGGCACTCACAGTTTCTAACCCAGGACCAGCCAGTGCATTAATAAAATGTTTACTGTGTATTTATTGTGAATTTCCTTGATGATAATTATAGAGCATTTGGAAAATATAGAAAGATCAAAAAGAAAAAAATTATCCATAATCACATTGCCTAAAAAACTACTCTTAAAATTTGGGTTTATTTCATTGAAGTCTTTTTTTCTTTGCATTTGTGTATAGTTAAAAAAAATTGTATCATAATGAAAATGTAATTTTCATCTTTTTATACACGAGAACATTTTTTAAAAGTTATTTTTATTTATTTTTGGCTGGGCTGGGTCTTCATTGCTGTGCATGGGCTTTCACTAGTTGTGGTATGTGGGCTTCTTATTGTGGTGGCTTCTTTTGTGGGACCTGGGCTCTAGAGTACAGGTGCGGTAGGTGTGACTTGTGGACTTATTTGCCCTGAGGCATGCGGGATCTTCCCAGACAAGGGATTGAACCAATGTCCCCTGATTGGCAGGTGGATTCTTAATCACTGGACCACCAGGGAAGTCCAGTACATTTTCTTGTATCATTAGATTATTCAAAAATATTACTTTAAGTGAATATATGATTCCATTTTATGGATGCACTATAGTTTATTTTAACCATTTTGTTGAATGTTTTAGTAGTTTCTGTGTTTTTACATGTGTGTTATGAATAATAGCAGCATGCATTTTTATAGGAGAAAATATAGAGGGGAATAGATATTAACATCTTGATGGGATAGTCAGAACTGTTCATTGTATTGCTGCTGACAGCCCAGATATCTGTGTATGCATAAATATTATATGTGGGTGATATTAAAAGTAGAGACTCTAGACTCTGATAAAACCTACTGGCTGTGTGAGCACCAATCCATTGAGCAATTGACATTTCCATCAAATAAGTTTATGAAAATAATTATAAAGGTAATTGACGTCCATGAGATATCCATAGCTGCTGTACTGAGTCCTGTTAAGTGCTGTTGAATTTTTTTCATTGAAATATAGTTTATTTAAAATATTTTGTTAGTTTCAGGTATGCAACATAGTGTAATGAGTCAATATTTTTATAATTATATTCCATTTAAGTTATTACATAACAGTAGCTATAATCCCCCATGCTATACAATATATTCTTGTTGCTTATTTACTTTATACATAGCTGTTTGTATCTTTGAATCCCCTACTCCTGTTTTGCCCCTTTCTCCTTTCCTCTCCACACTGGTCACCACAAGTTTGTTCTCTATATATGAGTCTTTTTCTGTTTTGTTATATGCATTCATATGATTTTTTTAGATTCCACATATAAGTGATAACAGAGTATTTGTCTTTCTCTATCTGACTTATTTCACTAAGCATAATACTCTCTAGGTTTATCCATGTTGTTGCAAGTGGCAGAATTTCATTCTTTTTCATGGCTGAGGAATAACTCCAGTGTATGTGTGTGTTTGTGTTTGTGTATGTGTGCCTTGCGTCTTCTTTATCCAGTCATCTGTTGGTGGACATTTGGGTTACTTCCATATCTTGGCTGTTGTGAATAATGCTGCTGTGTACACTGGGGTACATGTGTCTTTTTGAGTTAGTATTTTTGTTTTCTTCAGATACATACCCAGGAGTGGAATTGCTGGGTCGCATGGTAGTTCTGTTTTTAGCTTTTTGAGGAACCTCCATCCTGTTTTCTATAGTGGCTGCACCAATTTACATTCCCACCAACAGTGTAGTTCAGTTCAGTTCAGTTCAGTCGCTCAGTCGTGTCTGACTCTTTGTGACCCCATGAATTGCGGCACACCAGGCCTCCCTGTCTATCACCAACTCCCAGAGTTTACTCAAACTCATGTCCATCAAGTCAGTGATGCCATCCAGACATCTCATGCTCTGGCGCCCCCTTCTCCTCCTGCCCCCAATCCCTCCCAGCATCAGGGTCTCTTCCAATGAGTCAACTCTTTGCATGAGGTGGCCAAAGTATTGGAGTTTCAGCTTCAGCATTAGTCCTTCCAATGAACACCCAGGACTGATCTCCTTTAGGATGGACTGGTTGGATCTCCTTGCAGTCCAAGGGACTCTCAAGAGTCTTCTCCAACACCACAGTTCAAAAGCATCAATTCTTCAGCACTCAGCTTTCTTCACAGTCCAACTGTCACATCCATACATGACCACTGGAAAAACCATAGCCTTGACTAAACGGACCTTTGTTGGCAAAGTAATGTCTGCTTTTTAATAGTCATATCATTTGCAAATATTTCTCCTATTCAGTAGGTTGTCTTTTTGTATTGTCAGTGGTTTCCTTTGCTGTGCAAAAGCTTTTAAGCTCCATTAGGTCCCATTTGTTTACTTTTCCTTTTATTTCTTTTACCTTAGGAGATAGATCCAAAAAAAAAAATTTGCTACAATTTATGTTAAAGAGTGTTATGCTTATGTTTCCTTGTAGGAGTTTTATGGTTTCTGGTCTTACATTTAGATCCTTACTTCATTTTGAGTTTATTTTTGTATATGATGTGAGAGAATGTTCTAATTTCATTCTTCTACGTGGAGTCGTCCAGTTTTCTCAGCACGACTTACTGAAGAGAGTGTCTTTTCTCCATTGTGCCTCCTTGCCTCCCTTGTCATCAGTGCTGTTGAGTCCGTATCAGGCGCCTCTGGTTGTCTTCCTGCCTTTTGGCCACGTGCACTCACAGCTGCTTCTCTTCTCTCCCCTGTAGTTACTGGGGCTTCCGGATGCAGATGATGACGCTTTTGAAGAGTACAGTGCAGACGTGGAAGAGGAGGAGCCAGAAGCGGACCACCCCCAGATGGGGGTCAGCCAGCAGTAGACTTCCAAGGGCTCCCGCCTGAGAAGGAGCGTGAGCCCCGTGTACCTAGGGTGGGGTCGAGAGCTCCTGGGTTAGCATTTTGCATTAGCACTTCGAAACAGGACGTCTGACTCCCAGCATCCAAATTAATATGAAATACCTTCTTAATGACCACACAATATCTGGGATGAGCTTTGCTCAGAAGTGACCTGAATTTTACTCCCGTTTCAGTGGGTCTCTATGGAGTTGTCTTGGTAGCCTTTGCCAGTTTGAATTTAGAGTCCATTCTGTGGCTGACTGTTCTCTCTTGAGTTTATGTTGGAGAACTAACATTTGCTGACTCGAATGTTGAGAGCTCTGAATGTATTAAGGATATGCGTTGAGTCATCACAGGTGACATTATTGAGGGAAAGCATGGCAGAGAAGAAATGCAGTCTGCACTTTTAATGTACCTTTTAAGTGTGTGTAAGTGGAAGGTTTTGCTTATAAAGCATGAGTTTTAATATCTAGTCATTAAAACTGCCCAAGTGCGAATACATGGGCAGAAAAGGAGAATTACTTAATTTTGGATTAAGAGGGTAAGAGAGGCAAAGAAGCCTTTGTTTAAGTGTTCTGCCATTACTGAGTTACCTGGATATAGAGCAACTGGTTCATGGTTAGGTAGAAACATTACTTGCATGTTCAATTATTTTAAAACATGCTGATTCCAAAGCCACATTTAAAGTGGAGAATATAAATGGGGTGACATAAATTATTGATTTCTTGAAAATGTTTATAAGCCACCCCCATATGAAATGAAACATTTACCTTCTCTCCTTATAACAAGATGGCAACTTATTAAATTATGAAAACATCCCGAATCCAAGTGCCACTTAAACTTTGAAGCCATAGATAAATTTAAAAGGAAAATAAAGCAGGATAAAAAAATTTTTTTTAAATATGATGGAATCCTTTACTTCCTTAATTCATCTCTTATTCTTTAAAAAAAGTCAAGAAAAGGATCCCACTCTATAATTTATTTAAAAATTGTAATCAAGTGCTTTGAAGAACTCAACTGCATTGAAGTCATAAAGTGATATGAAGGTGGGACTTTCTAAATCATGGGTTAGCTTGGTTCAGTGGGGAAGTTTTAATGATCAAAATAGACAACTCACAGAAACAACTGTGATAATAACTGGAAACACTGCTGTTACCTTTTGGCCACAAACACTGAGTGGGGAAATTCTTTGCAATGCTAACATGGAATTATTTAGAACATTCATTTTTCTTAGACTCTTCTGCATCTCTGGTTTTAATAAAAGATGCGGACTGCCTCTTTTACAACACTTGACAAATCGTAACATCTGGGGTGGAACTGTTGTTAACATGCACACATGTGCCTGTTAGGTTGTCAAAGTTTTAGATTAAGAAAGCAGTGGTAGAGGCCACAGAGCTTATGGGAGTCTTGTATATCTTCCAGGCATGTCGGTGTAAACTTGATTATCTCAACATTTTCTGTTTAATTGATTGGTGCTGTGAGGAGCGCAGCTGCTCGTGGTTAAAATGGTGTCCTGCAATTTTAAGTCATCGGGTAAAATAATTTCGCGGTTTCCATCCGTGCTTCAGTGCCCACGTTTTGTCTTGATTTTTTTTTCTTGGAAAGACATATTAAAGGTTAACTTGAAGTGAAATGAATTTCCTTCAGAGTAGCCTGTTAACAAAACAAACCTTGAGGTTTCATCCAGTGGGGTAAGCAGACTCCATGCCTTGCTCTCATGCCCGTGTTCTGATTGGCTGTGTACTTGAGCACAGGTGATTGGAATTGCACCTCCCAGATCCATAAGCTCCATTTTCACACAGTAGGCCGAAAGGATGACTTCTGCCACCAAAATGAAGATGCTTAACTAGCTTGCTCCATTCAGAGGTAAATTGGAAATTTTGTAGTTCGAGGCTTAAAAATCTAAATTTACATATGTTCGAAAATGGAATGGACATTAATATAAAATGTATTTTATGAAAAAAGTGTTTAGGCTTTGACCAGATGCATTTTGGTATTATTATGCGAATGTTCTCTGTTTATAAAAATTGAGCTGAGATAAACTCAGCCATTCCATGCCGGGGAGAAATCTGGTCATTGTTCTGCCTCCAGGGGTTGGGGGGAACATCGCTGTGTGTTTCTTATTTTTGTGGCAAAACCCCAAAGAACTTTGCGAATCAGATTGTTTCCTCTAAAGCTTCGTTTTCTCTGATTGTGCATATCCGCTCCAGTGCACGCTGACACACGTGCACACATACACACACCCACCAGCGCTGTGGATTCTCTGTTTGGCACTAGAGCTTGCTCACTGTGGAGCCTCACCTGGCTGGTCAGGGACACAGGCAGCCTGTGGTTCTCATTATGAAAGTGGTTCCCTGGCTAGACTCTCACAAACACACAAACGCACTGACCGGAGAGACTCTGTGGCTCCACGGGAGGAGCGGAGACCCAGGAGTCAGGAGAGAGGCCTGGCTTTAGTCCTGACTCTGCCGGTGACCTTGGGCCAGTCACTTTACTCACCTAAAGCAGGCGGTGTTTGCCTTCCTGCTTGAAACACTGCCCTTCCTTAACTGTCTTATTGTGTGTGTGTATCAAGAGCTACAGTCAAGGAAACTCTTCAAGAAATGCAAAGGAAATACCTTATGAATCTTCTTTGTGTTGGTCTGAGTGTTCACAGCCTCTTAGCCCCGATGCTAAGGGGCTGATGAGATTCTTTTCCTTGGGTGAGGAGGTGAAGGAGGGCCCCCAGGAATGTGGAAAACACACTTATTCCAGTTGGCGTGCTTTGCTGTGGAAGGCAAGGGTTTTCCTGGTGCCCTGACAGACTGAGGCTTTGGCAGTAGAATATGTTTAACTTAACTGAGAAGGGGAATTCACATGAGGAATAGCTGGGAGAGAGTGAAAGATGAGTACTTTTTTGCCATGTCATCCAGGGAGAGAGAAAGAAGTAATAGGAAGTGACTGAGTGTGTATGCACAGTCATGTGTGTGAGTGTGGGTGGGTGTGTGAATAGGCAGATGGTTGATTGCTTATTGATCACTGTGGCCTAACTGTGAAGTCATGCCCGTGATAACATTACAAAACCTGGATCCCAGGTTTGAGTGAGTCACAGAAACACTTTTCTGATGGTGATACAGTTACTTTCCCTGCCTAATAATCATACTGAAGAGACTTTGGGGAGTTGAAGAACAGATTCTGGAGGGAGGTGAGACCCCCTAGTATGCCTGTCATCACCCTGGAGACCCCAGTGTCCACCCAAGTCTTCCAGGCTCCCAGCAGCACATAGTGCTTTTTCCCCCATGCCTAGAACATGAAAAGTCTCTTATTTAGGAGTTCTTCTTGTGTCCTGGTGCCAGAATCAAGGTTTCCAGTGTCTGCAGGTGAAACCTCTCTCCTGCCACAGTCAGTGTCCACATAGGAGCAGAAACCTTTCCCCAGCACAAGTATAGCTCTAAATACTGCTTCCGGTTCATGAGAGCACAAAATGTTTGCACCCAGGGGAGCTGTGATACTAGAGCATTGTCAGAATTTATATTTTAGAAATCTTGCATATTAAAATGTACAGGTGGGGAAGCTGTGGTATGAACAGACCTGATTTCCCATGGTTTGAGTGAAGACACCTAAGAATAGGCAGGACTTAACCTGTGGTAGGAGGAGATGAGTGAGGTGTTCAATAGAATGACAGAGTTAGGGTCTGACTCTTTAAATAAATAAAGCCAAGAGGCAGTTATTCTATAAAGTACAAGAGAACTATTTTCCTGGCTATCTCACCAGGGTCCTGCTTTCCTGAAAACGGACTGCTTGCCTGTTGAGAGGCAAAGCCTGAGTGGGGGGTGGCTTTGTGGCTTTAAAAATCCACCCCCACCCCAGCCAAGGAGACAGTGGATATCCTGCAAATTGGTGGAGTTATGTTCCTCATTAAACCACCAGCCCGAGAAGCCTGTATTTCCAAAGTGCTGTCAGATCTGAGAGGGGCCACTGATCACCTGGCAGGCAGGAGAACCAAAATTGACCTCGCTGTCAGCTGCAGAGAAGGGTCTGTATCAGAAGTGTCCCTGCTGGCCAGAGGGCAGAGCCCACCTCCTCCACCATGCTTCCGGATTGTAGAAAGAGCACAATTGAAACTCAAGTGGATCCCAGATCCAGCTTCCTTCTAGTGAGTGTTAACTCCAAAGAGATGCCATTGCCTGATGGTTTAGTCTTCAGAGTACCAGAGAAGCCTCAAATGTTTTGCATTAAATTGAATCCTCTTCCATAAATACACAATCAGTTATCTTGGTGATATTAGGTATGAGGTAAAAGGCTGAAGTCTTCTGGATTTTATGCAGACTAATTCTCAGACTTGCCAGAATGCCAGTAGCCACTGGTATCCGTGGCAACGTGGTGTCTGTGGTAAAATATATTGCTAAAGCTCATGTTCATTGGGCAGGTTGTTAATAAGATGTTGTCTTTGATATCTGTACTCACATTTGGATTACAAAAACAGAGGACCCGTGAGCATTTCATGTTGTAGAAAGTCCGTTTAAAGCACGGTATGGTTGAATAGGCACAAGTAGTTAAAAGCAGGCGCCAGGCCACACACAGATGAACATTTAGTTTGCTGAGAACTGTGCATTCAAGTTGTTCAGTACCACGGAGAAAGCTGACGGTCTGTTCTTTGTAAAAACTGCCTTTGCCTGTTTTTTCCTTTTGTTTTTGTTTCTTCAGATTCATTTTTTTACTTTAAATATCTTCTGATAACTAGGCAGATAAGATACAGAGCAGTGCTTTGTATCTCCTCAGCTTTTTAGAGGAGAGAGTAAACCGTCAGTTTTAGGGAAAACCTGAAACCATCTGTGAACAGTCTTCATTTGTGTAAGAGAGCAACGTTGAGCTAGCCGCATCAGAAGCAAAAGCAAGGAATGGTTTGGGGCTTTTGTTTTTTAGGTGAGAAATGTTTCATGCCGGGTGTGTATGCTTTCTTTGCCTTTATATTTCTTTTCGAAGAAATCTCTTGTAAATTACAGAACTGTGAAATGGGTTGCCAAAAACTGTTGCCCTTCATTAGATGCTTCAGCAGTGTAAACCCCAAATTGAACCCTGTCTACACCTGCTCCTTCCTCACTCCCCTGCGGGTGAGGATCTCATCCAACGATGTAATTACCATACGCTTGCTATTAAAGAGCCTTCCAATCTCTGGTGACGTGTGCCTCTTGTTTACCGTCTCCACCACCTTTGGTCCTAAAGGACACCTTACTTGATCCGAAGGGGGACGGGAACTGGGGATCATCAGCCAGCTCTGTGGTGCTGGTTGTTGGGGCCTGGCTGGGGTGGTAGTGGGCAAGTGAGGACGTGATTACAACAACCACTGATACGATTCAGATGTTAATAATTGATGTATTTGGAAACATTAATCTATTCTGATGCTGCAGCTGGTCTTTAGTAGTTTTCCACTCTTCCTTCGAACCTTAGATTTTTTTTTTTTGTCCTAATCAGGAATCTATTATGGCACCAATTAGAAACCTGCGGTCATTCTGTGATGACAGGACACTATTTCCCACTACTTTCCTCCCACTTGTTATTCAGAAACAGTGGCATTTAAAGAATAAATCTGGAAGTTGGTAATAAGTCCCATTATTTAAGAGCAAGTTTCTTTCCCCAAATGAATAGGTCTCCATAGATTGTTAAATTAGATTTGCGATTGCCTGAAATAGACACAGCCTAGAAGCTCATGTGTGTGTTTCCGGTAACTTAACTTGTGCTGCTTCATTTTAACATGGCTGTTGTCAGAGACTGTACTGAGTGGTGGGCAGTGTACAAGCTTGCAGACCTCATTTAGTGGCCATGATGTGGTCTTCAAAGCCTTTCTCACAAGAGAATTCCCTTGTTACTGTTAGTCGAGCACTCTCACAGATAGACCTTTTGGTTTTTAATATTTATTTGGCTGCATCGGAACTTAGTTGATGCATGTGGGGTCTAGTTCCCTGACCATAGATCGAACGTGGACTCCCTGCATTGGGAGCATGGAGTTTTAGCCACTGGACCACAAGGGAAGTCCCTCACAGATAAGACTTTTAAAAATGCAAGCCTGCTACTCTTTCCAAGTGCAGGGCCTAGTGTTCCCTTAGCAGAGACTTTTTCTCTACTTGGTTGTCCTAGGACAAGGCTCTAACCCAGTCTCCTCCCTGACTGGCTGTGTGATCACAGGCTTGTCACCTCCCTGCCCCCCCATCTCTCTTTCCTCATCTGTAAAGATAAGAGTATGGATTCATTTCCAAGTTCCCTCCCGGCACTAGTGTTGTGGGGACATGTCTTGACTAGTGAGATCAGGGTAGGAGGGAAGCAAAGTTTATAAGGAAAGTGCTTTCTCAGGAAACCAGGGCTGGACGAC